CCCGCCTCTCGAACACTAATCTCGCAGTACTCTCAAAACTACATTCGCGATTTGCGTATGTAGGAGGCGGGAGCGAGTATCGACGAGAGTCAGGACGACAACAAAGAAACATGAAAGCTCGGACGAGGAGGATTTTGACGAGGATGAAGGAGACTACGATCAGGAGGAAGTTATTCTCGACCCGGAGGAGGAGAAGGCGCTGGCCATGTGGTCTGCCCCCGAGCAGCCACGACGGACCCTGGCCGACATCATCATGGAGAAGATTAAGGAGAAGGAGATGGAGATGGCGCGTGAGGGTTCGTTCTTCTCTCACTTTGTTCGTTCTACTTTTTTTTTTTGGCTCATCTTAGCTCATTCGTGTTGTCTTACAGGTCAGGAGGGACCTCCTTTGCAGAGGCTCAACCCGAAGGTGGTTGAAGTCTACCGCGGGTATTGTCTCCTCCGTTTTGGCTTGCTTGCCTGCTTGTGCCAACCCCTGATTGCGTGCTGTGCTACAGTGTGGGAAGACTGCTCGCCAAATACAAGTCGGGCAAGCTGCCCAAGGCGTTCAAGATGGTGCCCACACTCACCAACTGGGAAGAGATCCTCTACCTCACCGAGCCAGGTTCTCTCCCTCTCCTCTGCACACCACGGCCACACACGCAGCCACGAAAAGAATAATAATAAGAAGAAGGCCCTCACGATTTATACTTGGGATACGTCCATGACCAAGTATAATTTAATGGCGCCCATAGCGATCCGCACCCTCTTCCACGTGATGGTGTGGAGGGTTCCATCACGAAGAAAGCTGTCGGCTTCTTTCCACACCGACGGTTATAATTTGATGGGCACACTCAACACACAACACTCACACCCACTTTGAGACTGTATCTGTTGTTGTGTTTCTGGCTGACTTGCTCGCTTCGCCAGACCACTGGAGCCCGGTCGCCGTGGCGGCCGCCACCAAGATCTTCGCGTCCAACCTCAACGCCAAGATGGCCCAGCGATTTTACAACCTGATCCTGCTGCCCCACGTGAGAAACGACATGGAGCAGAACAAGAAGCTCAACTGGCACTTGTACATGGCGCTCAAGAAGTCCGTCTTCAAGCCGGCCGCCTTCTACAAGGGCATCGTGCTCCCTCTCTGCGAGGTACGGCCCTGTCTCATCGACATGCGTGTGTTTCGCTTCTCTCTGTCGCTCGGCCTTGCTGACTTTGCTTCTTGGCCGTGTGTGATGTGACGCCTGTCTCCAGTCGCGAAACTGCACTCTCCGAGAGGCCACCATCGTGGCGAGTATCATCGTGAAGGTCTCCATCCCCGCCCTCCAATCCGCCGTTGCTCTTCTTAAGATTGCCCAGATGGAGTACTCTGGTGCGTCCCCATCTCCTCCCCACCACTTGGCTCCAGAGACGCAGCTCCTCCTGGCTCACACTGCGGATTGAATTGAAACCACTACCAGGCGCCAACAGTATCTTCATCCGCGTCTTGCTCGATAAGAAGTATTCGCTTCCGTACCGAGTGATCGACGCTCTGGTGGACCACTTCGTCGGCTTCATCAAGGAGGAGCGAATGCTGCCCGTGCTCTGGCACCAGGCCCTCCTCGTGTTTGTGCAGAGGTATAAGGAAGACATGACGCCCAACCAAAAGGCGCAGGTGAAGCAGCTCATCAAGCACCAGGGTCACCACACCATCACCGGCGAAATCCTGCGCGAGCTCAACGAATCCAAGAGCAGAGGCGAAGGCCAGCCCAGCGCCGACAGTACTGTTACCCTCAACAATCTCTTGATCTTGACTTCAACAACGCTCATCCTAACTAACCTCTCTCTCTCTCTCTTAGACATGAT